TTTGTTAAAATTTTACTATTGTAAAAAGAACATTTTGTTCTATATATTGTAAAATTTTGACTAAAATCAATTACAACTGTAAGAAGTTTTACTAGTAGCATATTTTTATTTTCTATATAAATCTTATTGTATCATGAAAATCATATGACAAATGATCTACATACCCCCTACCCTTAATTGATAAAAATAAAATATTTGTAATAGTGCTTCTACAGACTGGAACCAAACTAAACTTTAGTCAAGTTTGAGTCTGGTTTGATTTTTGAACCAGGACTTAAACTTTTATATTCAAACTTTTAGTCAAGTCTGAGTTCAGTTCAGGTTTGGTCCAAAGTTTGCAAACTAGTTTGAGTTCAAATATATTTATATATATTTTTTGATACTAAACAAGTTTACTTAGTGTATTAAGTTAGAATTAAATAATAAAATTTTGAAAATTATAAAATTTTATAAAACTTTATTAATAAAATTCTACAAAATCTTATATATTCTCAAAATTTTACTATATAATTAATTCTAACTTTATATTAAAAAATATATTAAACTAATAAAGTTATTTTTATTTTTTTTTAGTATTAAGGTAATCTCTTATTATTTTAACTAAAATAAAATTTATTATATCTATAAAATATCTAAAATAATCAAAGTTTGATAACTGTTCAAAAATATATATATGTATAGTATATATGTAAATAATTTCTTTAAATTTTTATACTGTAATAAAATTTTGGGATCTGTGTTCTATTATAAAAAAACGATTTTATTTCACCTTTAATTTCTCTCGCAATATTTAATATTTTTAAATTCTATAACAAATTTATCAAGATGTTTAATGAAAAGAGTCTCTATATCAAAATTTTACCTCAAAAATTGAAATATTTCATAGCTTACCTGAGTATCCGCTATCATATGATTTACAAATATAATGCCAGTCACATGCAGGCTACATAACAAATCATTAACAAGGGTTAATAAAAATTTAATCTTTAATAACTTTTGAATCAATAAACATATACAAATAAAATTATACTTATCGAAGCTCTCTTAATGATCTCTTTAAATTTTATAAAGAACTCGATCAACGAATTACTATATGGCCACAGTAAATCATATGATAACAGACGCTCTAGTAAGCCATGATATATTTTAATTAGTAAGATAAAATTCTAATGTTATTACTTTATAAAGACGCTTTTAATTAAACATTTTACTTTTAAAAATTTAAAAATGTTAAATATTGTAAAAGAAATTAAAGTCAAAGTAAAATCATTTTTTTATATTATATAATTAAAGATTTTTAATTTTGTCAGATCATTTTTTTCATATATGTATATATGGTGTAATGATTGTATATATGTGTGGACTGGATCATGTCGACTATTTTACTATAAGTGGTTTGGATTGTATAACTTTTTTGTAGCTTGTGACATCTTTCTGCAGAAGATCTACGAACAAAATTTCCTTGTAATTTCAAGAAAAGAAATTTTTGTCTGTCATTTTTGTAATACTTATGGATTTATAACAGTATATATAAGTTAAGTTCAAGTACAGGTATAAGTACAAGTACAAGAAGAATTATTGCTTTCACAATATTATTTTTTGCAACCAAAAAAAAAATTGCAACATGATACAAATAGTGGTGAGAGGACTTTGTGTTTACTATTTTATTAGCCTTTACCTAGATTTATAAATATGTTTTAACATTTTTTTTTGTTTCTTTGTTGGATTTTTTACAGGACAGATGAATTGATAATCACTGATCGTCAAAGACCAACAAATATTTATTTGTAGCAAAGAATTTGTTGATCTCTTTTGAATTCGACTTTTTGGCATTATCAGGAAAAAAAAAAATAATCGAACTGAGTTAAGAACTAGTAAAAACCTGCTATGTAGATAAGTTATGATAACAACAATTGATTTTTTTTTGTTTAGTTAGATAATAATTGATTTATTTTTTGAATAAATGATAATAATAAATAAAAATGATAAAAAAAATAAAAATAAATCTTATGTCCTGCAAAGATAATCAAGTCAATATCTGAATTTAGTATATAATTACAATAGACAATCCTTTAATCTTGTGACTACTAATTATAAATAAAAACCTGATTATTTATTAATTTAAATAAATAAAACTTAAAAATAAAAAATAACTATATACTGCCTATTTGCATTGTTTTGAAAATCACATCCTTTTGAAAATGATCTTTTGCTTTGAAAGAATTCCTGTAAACATCTTGAAACAACGTACTCCATATAATATGGACTGCTATTCGTAGGAATCAAGCAAATTGATATTTTAAAAAAAATAAAATAAAATATCTTAGCTTTCACAGTTCATATCAGCAAATTTTAAAATCAGCTTGATGAGCTAATATTCAAAAGAAAGCTTAGGATCTAGGCTTTCTTTTAAATATTATCTCATCAAATTGACTTCAAATTCGCTAAAACATAGACTGTGAGAGCTAGGTATAAGATACTAATCCACTTGATACAGCCTGTACATTAGCTGATTTTGTGACATAATAATTGGACTTGAAATAACGCATATAGATGTACTTGAATAATGCCTAAATGATCAAAATAGTGTGTATATGCTCATTATATACTTATTATCTCAAATTTTCTGAACATATCTTGAAAAAAACTTTCTGATTAAATGATCGAATGTCATAGGAACTATGTAATATTCCTATACTATTACCAAATTATATAGATAATATCTTTTTTTTCTTCTAATAAATAAATAGATAATAAAAAATAATTTGAAAAAATAAATACCTTTTAATTATAGATATTACTATCCAATTTAAATTTGCAATAACAAAAAACAAAAATAATCAATTAAATAAATAGTCTTTTTTTTTTCCTTGTTGTTTATTTTTTCTGATTTTTTCAATTTTTTTTAACAATTGAAAAAAGAAACAAAAAAATATATCAGCTTCCGTTACCGTGCTGTGTTATGTAATAAGTTACCAAAAAAAATTAATTCCTAACAAAAACTTTTTAATAGTTAAGGCTTTGGCTGTTATAAAATCTCGAAGTCTAGACTCTTCGCTGAATATTATTTTAACTGGATTTTATCACCATGATATTATCCAAGAATTAAATTTACCTGAATTCGAAGATAAGAATGTGATTCTTGCTACTAGAAATTTTGTATTGTTGAAGGCACAGGCCAAAATAATGAAAAATATCTTATTTTAAAAATATATCTTACCTTTGTCATTTATAAATATAAAAAATTCAATGAATAGATTGATTTTTTTTTTTTTTTTAATAAAAAAAAAAGGTTACCTTAAACGATATCATACATTTTAATACTATTAACCCTAACAACTTACATGCATTTCTAATATTAATCAACATGATGGCATCGGTTAAAAAAGATCCAGAAATCGATAATAAAGATGTGGTCATTAATGTTTTAACCAAAAATTATGTGGACCAAAGTTACGTTGATCTTAAACTAACGTGTTATCACCCTACTTCAATTTATTATTTAACAAACATGACTGCTGTTATAAAGAAAGATTCTGTGGTCTATATCAATGGGAACTTATGATGACTAATGATGATAATATAGTTCATATACAAAATATTTCATTTCCAGAATATTAAAGTTGAATACGATTATGAAAAGCAGCCCAATGCAATTTTTGTAGAAATCAAAAGACCAAAATGATAAGGCTTAACAATATGCCACCACCTACCTCTAAACTATATTTTAAAGCCAATTCTCATCCAAAAGTTACTGATCTGAAAATAATCTCCTAAACAAAACTTCAGGTCCAAGCATGTCTAATCAAACTGCTACCAAATAGATAAGTATATTATTACATATATACTTGATCTAAAATCATTTGTCTTATTTTCTTTTTCCTTTTTATGATAAATAGACAATTAATATTTCTTCATGCTTTCTAACATACCTGATGTTTCTCAAACGCTATAAAGATAAATACTACACATTAGTATTTTTATAATATATTTTTCAATATCTCTTATTATACTTATCCAATATATATTTATATATTTTATCTATATATTATCATATATTTATTTATTTATTTTTTTTTTGTTTTTAAGGTGACCTCTTGGTTGATTCTCTTTATTCAGTTATTAGTCAAGTTTTACTGTACGCTAGGCCCCTTACGATGCCCGTACAGTATACATATTTTGGAGAGTACAAACTAACCACACGTACAACTTTTGATTGCCTATTTAAGTAGTCTGCTTATTACTAAGTTCTACACTAGATGCCATACCTATAACCCAACTAGGGGTTATTTATTTAAACCCTCTGCGCCATATGTGGGTCGATTATTATTATAACCGAATTATCATATATTTATTTTTTTATATTTGTATAAATAAATAAATGAATTATTATATATCTAAAAATTATAATATGAATCACAGAATAATTTTTGTTACCTGCCAATTAATTAAATAATCTAATATTTGAATCGCTATATTTCTCGCTTCTTTCATTCTTGTAACTCTTATAGACTTATTATCTCTTTTTTTTTTTTTTATGAAAAAAAAAGTGTATTACTCTCACATGTACGATTATTTAACTATATAATTAATTACACAAGAAACTTATCTTAATTCATAATCTTGTGACATATTATCCTAAAATTAAGAATCGATAAAATCCTGCAATATAATATAGTGATACCAATATAAATAACCTTTAACTGGAACTAAACTTATTAAAAAATCCAATATCTATGCCTCAACTTGATTTTTTCTAATTAAAAAAAAAAAGGAATAACAAAACCGGGCCAAGCCTCACTTTTATAATACAGATTCACAAATCTGTAAAGCCGCATCTTTAAAATATGTAGTACATACGTATATATCTGTATACAAAGAAAAATATGCTCAAATAAATATTTGTATATCTTTACCATGTATACTTATTAATAATACAAAAAAAAAATAATGCGTACAAAGGTTCGATTTTCTAATACGGTCGTAAATACAATTAATATTATTATCTATTTAGATTGATAAAATAACTAATAATTAATTTGCTTTAGACAAAACTACTAAATCACATTAATACTTTCTTGATTATAAATACCACCAAATTCCCAACTATAATCTAAATAACTTTATAATATATTGGTAGTCTTATCACTTCTGATACACCAATGTGATACACTTTATTTAAAATAGCATATCCTCATATTTTATAAATAATCTTTCTTACAAATTATTGATAATAATCCTTGGGTTATAAGCTTTTAAATCCAAAAAACAGTAAATCAATATGATTTCTCATTGTTAAGAACCAGCTATTTAAAGTTGTTTAATTGATAATTAAAAAATTAATAATTTGTATATTATTTTTATTCCCATTATGCAAAGTCGATCAAAAAATCTCATCATGCGATGCTATTACGCAAGCATATAGCCCAG